ATCCTCGCCCTGGAAGCTGCAGCCTGGCAGGTCACGTGGCTTTCCAGAGCCTGCCAGATGGAAGCCCCCAGGGTCTGCTGGCACCTGCAGAGCATGTGTGCTTAGAGGAACCAAGGGTGCCCGGAGCAGGGCAGCTGTGTTGAGAGTCAAGTGGAGATAGGGAGGGATTGGTTTATGAAATGAACAGCCCTTTCCTGTTGGGAACAATGGGGAAGAGTGAGAGTCTGTGCCTTCGGGAGCTGCCTGGGGCACCTGTGGGACGTGTGTGTGTGTGTGTGTGTGTGTGTGCGCGCGCGTGTGTGCGTGCACGTTCAGAGGAACCAAGGCAGACTGGAGCAGGACAGCTAGGTTGGGAGAGGCAGAAGTCAGGGTCAGGTGGAGTGGAGGGAAGGTGGTCTATTCTATGAGCACGTTTTATTTTGATTGTTAACATTAAGCCGGCATCTTCTGGGCCTGCTGGGTAAGAGCTTGAAGGTCTTGTGTTCAGGCTCAGTCTGCAGCCCAGCTGAGGTTCCTCCTGGCCGTGGCTCAGTGTAGATCACATAGCCTCTCTGAACTCTAGTTCCTTCAGCTATAAGCTGTGGCTGTCTCAGCACAGTTGAACAACGAACGTAGCACTGTCGTACTCTAGCTACTCAGTAAGTATAAGTAAGTAAGCCCCACCCTAGGCTCACAATCTCCAGGTGGTGGCGCTATTTGGAGGTTTGTGGAACCTTTAGGTTGTAGAACCCTCAGGAGGCTCAAGACATTCTGACTCTAACGTGCCTCGGGTAGTCAAACTGGAGCTTTTCTCTTCAGGTGTTTTAAATTTACTCCCATTATTTGTGGTATGGATGTTTAAGCTTTAAAAGGCATTTAAGATTTTATGTGTATGACAAGTGTTTTCCCTGAATGTGTGTCTTTGTATCACATGCAGGTCTGGTACCTGTGGAGGCCAGAAGAGGGGGTCAGATTCCCCGGTACTGGAGTTACAGACTGTTGGGAGCCACCTTGTGGCTTCTGGAATTTGAAACCTGGTCCTCTACAAAAGCAATCAGTGCTCATGACTGCTGAGCCATCCTTCCAGCTCCTGTGTTGTAGAAATTTGCTTATGTGAGATTCACCTTCAATATATGATATTCGTTTAGTGTGCGGCTTGGAATAGACCACATGAGACCAAACGGTTCCAGGTGGGGTTTATTCAGAAGATAGGGTAAAGGTGGGAGGAGGGAGAAGAAGAAGAAGAAGAAGAAGAGAGAGAGGTCAGGGGGTTCTGCCTATTTATATGGGTGGTGATGTAGCCTCTCACAGGTAAGGTAGCCAGGTGGATTCTGAGAATGTATGGCGGTTGCCTTGGCAACGATGTGGGGGTCACCTAGATGTGCTATCATTGGGTTCAGAGCCTGATACCAACATTCCTCCCTTTTTCTTATTATAAAGAGAAGGAAAAAAAGGGGAGGGGAAGCCGATGGTGAAAGGGGAGTCCAGCGCCTTGTCTCTTAAACTACTTCCTGCTGTGTAGGGGCGTAGTCCATTTTTGGGTGTAACTGGCCATGACCATCAATGTCCACTTGGTATATGTGTGCATCAGGTTCCTGTGTGGACGGCGGCTGGTAATCCTGTAACAGGAAGTTTCCTAAAAACAGCATTCCTCTTGGAGGAACCGGCAAAGACCACCTTCTTTAGCTGTCAGGACATCTAGCCCCTATCGGTTCTGAAGCACCATAGCTGGAATTCCATGGGTCTTATATGTAGAAAAGAGTGTCTTACGGTGTTAGTAGAAGAAATGGTTGGTCTGTGATCCTAGCATATGTATCTGACAAGACCAATACGGGCACCCCGCATAATCGTCTGGCCAGTTTCTACAATAATATTTAGATGGGATACAGATACAGGGATGATGGCAATTTGGATTGTTTTTTGGCATCCGGCTATGGAGCAGTTTCCTGACCCTGTTTGGAAAGACTGTTTGTTATCTGTGGGGGTTTCTTGAACCTCAAATTCCAGATGTAAGGGCTGACCTGGATGGAAACAAGCAGCAGGGGGAGGATGAGAAACCCATGTCTAGTCCAGTGAGGTCGAGGTTGGCTGCTGGAGCGGAGTCTCATTTTCTGGGATTGAGGACAAGGTGAGTGACCTTGACGTCCTCTGGAGCTTAATAGAGAACTGTCCTGGTAGAGTCCAGTAACTGGATGACAACAGGAGAATGATGTTTAGTAACAGAGGGGTTCTGGATGTCCCAAACTTGGGGGTCCACTTGAGAAGTTGGTAAGGGAAATAAGATGTTAGTGTTAGTAGGTTGACTGGCTAGAAGGAGGAGCAGAGGAACTGCTGGTGAGCTTGGGTTTAGGCGAATCGGGGGAACAAAGGAAATAGAGGCTTCCAACTAAAATATCTCTTCCCAATAAGGGGACAGGACATGTAGGCACTACCAAAAAGGAATGGATGAGAGGTACACCCCTAAAAATGCAACTAAGTTGGGGGGTCTGGTGAGGAAGGTAAAGTTGTCTTCCTACCTCGACAATAGGAGAACTCGAAGGTGAAGTGGGTCCCCAAAATTCTATCAGGACCAAGTAAGTGACCCCAATGTCCAAGAGAATGGAGATGGGTCATCCACATACCATGATAGCTACCCCGGGTCTCCCTGCTAGTGATAGGTGTGGTCGGGTCGAGAGAGCTCTGGCCTTGTCAGTCGTCCATAGCCAATCTTAGAAGGACAGCTGAAGGATTTTCTGAGAGGGACGTCTCTCTGTTCTGGGCAACATGAGGACAGTCAACAGCCCAGTGTCCCTTCTGATGGCACCTAGGACATGGTCCCGTTGGCTTGCTGGGGAAGCCTTCGCCCAATGACCATGTTGATCACATTTATTAGCAGAGGCCAGGTGGTACCTGAACCTTCGAAGACTCGGAGTATAGGGTAGCAGCTGAGGCTGGTTGGATAGCCTTTGCCAGCATGTGGTATTTCTGTTTTCAGGCTTTTTCATCTCTTTCATGGTACCCCTTGAAGGCCAGCACCAAGACTTCCGCCTGTAGAGTTAGGGGCCCCCTCTCCAATTGTCTAAGTTTAGCTTTTATGTCGGGGTGGCTCTGGGGAAAAAGTAGGTCATTAGAAGTTGCTTACCTTCTGGGTTTTCAGGGTCCAGATTGGTATATTGCAATAAATCCTCTGTGAGGCATTCTAAAAACTGAGACTTTTTTTTTCTGTTTGTCCTGGACAACCTCTTGGAGTTTTTCAGTGTTTACTAGCTTTAAGGCTGCCTTTCTTAGGCCTGCCCAAAGGCATGTTATAAATCTATCTCTGGCTTAGATACCACCTACGGAATTATGATTCCATCGAGGATCCTGGTCAGGCACTACCTCAGATCCGATTAGATATGTTCCATCTGTTTGATGAATCTGATCTGCATGCATTTTTGCCTCTTTCCAAACTTGCCTATGTTCATCAGGAAGTAAATTGTTAGTGAGAATCATATGTACATTGTGGAAAGTCAAGCTATAAGATAGAGTAATGTTCTGGAACTCTTTAATAAAGGCGGAGGAGTTAGAAGTATAGGAACCCAAACTGCTCTCTATTTGAGAAAGTTCACTCAGTGAGAAAGGGACATCTACTCTGACCAGACCGTCAACCCAGCCACTTCCCTTAGAGGAAGGATAGATGCTGGTTCAGGTGTCCCTGGAGAAGAAGGAATTGGGGGTTTGGCTGAGGCCTTAGAATGTGTGATAGAAGGGGTAAAGTTTGGTGCCAATGCAGGACGATTAGAGTGTCCTACAGTTGGCACAGAAGGAGGGGAGGGGGTCTGGAGAGGTCGGGCTAGTAGGCTCTGAGGTATTCTGGTGAGAAGAAGAAACTGAGGCAGCAGTTTGGGTTTTTGGAGGCATGGAAACAGGAGGGAGGCAGATCATCAGCTGGATCTAGGGGTGTGGTGTCATCTAACTGTGACTGAGTAGGTTTCATGGCTAAGAGAACCTGGGGTAGGGAACAGGCAGAACACATAGAGGGATTAGAGCAAAGGTAGATGAATGTTTGGATATAGGGAACCTCTTTCCATTTACCAGACTGCTGGCAGTATGTGTGAAGACCTTTTAAAATGATTGGGTCTAGCGTGCCATTAGGTGGCCATTTTGAACCATTATCTAGAGGGTACTGAATCCAGACTTTATTGCAGAGGTGTATCAGTTTGAAAGGCCTCAAATCAGGCATTAATTTTAGAGATTTGAGGTTTTTCAGGAGACAACCCAGTGGGGTGTCTGGGAGTACAGTCAAAGACAGTTTAGCGGCCATTGGGTGATGGGGGGCATCCAAACATCTTCACAGCAGACTAACAAAGGACAAGGCATTGGCTGGTCCAGTGGCTCAGAATCAAGAAGCCTGACAAGTAAAGAAAGCGAGTCAGTGTAGTTCATATGGACTTAGCAGCTGAGTGGGATGGGAAAGGCTTTATCCAGGGCTCACAGAAGGGCCTATGTGAGGCTGTAGCAGGGGGAGGTGCCCTTCTACAGTCTGCTCAGTGCAGAACAATTGTGGAAGACAAAGTGCTTCCAGGTGGAAACTAGCAGGAACCACAACAGGGCAGGGCTCAGAAGACAGCTAACTCAGTCACTTTTCCCCCCCTCATTGTGTAGCTCTGGGCTTTCAAACAAATTTCATTTGGTTTGGGTAGATAAACACTGGAGACTACTGTTAGCAAGGGCCTTCCTACTGCAATATAGAGGGCACATGGCACCCACCTTGGGGCCTTTATCTCTAGAGGAGCTTAGGTTTGCAGGCACCTGAGTGCCCAGAGACCATGATTTTACATTAGAATGACTTGGCCTAAGAAAACTTTCTGGGCTTGGTCCCCAGAGCTTCTGAATAGGATGTTGGTGGTGTGGCCTAAGTCTCTACTGCTGCTGCTGCCTCAGGGACACACCTCAATCACTCAGGGGTAGCTGTGCGTTCAAGGTGCTTGTAATGTAAATCATGAAGTCCACCATTGCTGCAACTGTTTTATTCACAGGCTTGTTTTGTCTCTTTTAAACAGGTATTTTGATGTTGGACTACACAATTTCTTAATCAGGTAAGCCAGTGCCTTTTGATCTTAGCTTTGACCAAACAGCAAAACTATTATGGAAGAATGCAAACAGAAAGCCGTAGAAAACCATAGAGAATGATGGTAGTCGAATTACTTGCCAGGAAAACATTGCTAGCACCGTGTGTGTCCACCCAGTCCCACGTGAATAATGATGCAGATCTGTTTCCATCAGGCGTGACAGACGACAGGCGTGACAGACAGGCATGACAGACAAACTCTCCTAGTTTGCTTTATGCTGCTGTGATAAAACATCGTCCCAAAGTAACTTGGTGAGGAAAGGGTTTATTTAAGTTTGTAGCTCCACCATCAAAGGAAGTGAAGGCAGGAACCTGGAGGCAGGAACGGAAGCAGAGAGCACAGAGGAACACGGCTTGTTTGATCATTTCTTATCCAGCCCAGGCCGATCTGTCAAGGGATCGTACTGCCCATAGTAGGCTAAGCTTGCCTAAAGCAATCAGCAATCAAGAAAACGCTCTAAGACATGCTCAAGGCATCCAATGAGTCTCCTCAAGGGTAGACAACCAGAATTATCCACCACATTCACTAAGACCTTACTTCCATTTGAAGTCACCGGAGAAATAAATAGCTAGTGAGAAAAGCGAGCTTTATTGGCTCATGTCAGACACCCAGCAGTCTATTCAACCAGTTCTCTCTCATTGAGTCTAATCTTTTAAAACCGAATCTATCATTTTACAGTCTTGGAAATATGACCTAATATATCACTGAGATTATAGACAGGAGTTTATAACCTAGTTTACTGGTGAATTTTTACCAGAGTTGTATTATGGAACATACTAAATTCACATAGATATGAAGTTAAACAAATTAGACAGAAATAAATAGACCAGAATATTGACAGTGCTTACAAAATGGATATGGTTTTGAAAATCAATGTTGTGAGACTAAAGCAATGGCTCTGTGACTTAGAACACTTGCTGCTCTTGCAGAGGTCCTGGGTTTGATTCCTAGTCCTACCTGGTAGCTCACAACCATCTGTAACTCTAATTCTAGGAGATCCAATGTCCTCTTTTTGGCCTCTTCGGGCACCAGGCACATACATTGTTTACACACATGCAGGCATGCAGGCAAAATACACACATAAACTAAACTAATCTTAAAAAAAAACCCTTTCCTGTGTTTTCTAAATTCTTCATAGTGATCATCATTTTTAATAATGTTAAAAAGTAATTGAGATGTCTGTCAAAAACTTCAGAGGGACTAATGGTCACTGAGGAATCACTGTAAACGAAAGGCGGTGAGGGAAGTAACCGTCACTGGCCGGCTTTCCTTTCTGTAAATATCAGCTCATTTTTATTGATTCTGAATGTTTGTTAAACCCTAGTCATCGTGGCTTCTGTGCCTGTCATGTGGTGGTTCAGCTTGCCTCAGGGCACGGCCCTCCCCCACTGGTAAGATACTGAAGGAAAATGTCACCTGTGCAGAGCCTTGGTGCCACGCTGCAATGGCAGTGTGTGTGTGTGGGGGGTTCAAGCCTTCCTTGCTTTCTCTCAAGCCTCCTCAGAGGCTGCACCTTGGAATGCCTTAGTTTTCTTCAAGATGGTACACACAGATAGTGTGTGAACTCTTGATACAGCAAGGGTCTGAACAGTGTAGCAGGAAGGATAATGAACCAGGGATACACCAGGGATGGTACAAGAATTCCACATGTAAGCAGATCAGAAAAGGCTGCCTGGGAAGATAACCAAGAATAGCCGCCCCTCACCTCCCGTCCTGGGTGTGGAGAGAGAGAGAGAGAGAGAGAGAGAGAGAGAGAGAGAGAGAGAGAGAGAGAGAGAGAGAGAGAGAGAGAGAGAGACAGAGATATTTTACACTTGAGGAGTTTTTGTCAAGGGAAAATTATATTCCCGCTTGTAAAGGAAGGTGTGTAAAAGGGATTGGTACCATTTTGGTTTGTTTTTGTTCCAAGAACTATTTACTTGCTCCAGCAAGCTCCTCAAGTGTTCCCAGGGTTGTCAGGCTTGTGCAGGCTTGTGATTAATCAGTTGTGGCTTTGACATGGATGGCAGTAGTGTTGTCTTCTCTGGAACAACGTAAACTTCCTCAGAGCCCACTCTGTGATCTCAAAGCTGAAGAATGAGCTTCCTTTTTTGGTGCTAGTGCATGCAGCACAGGGCTGAGGTGGGAAGGGCCAGTCACATGGGAAGTGTGAGCATTTTCCTCTGGGTGTTCTATGATGACAGCAGGATAGCAGTGAGCTCCATCCTTCTTTATCTTACGCAAATCAGAGAAAAGACTTCCAGGAGTCAGAACAGCCTCTCACCAGAGAACCTCAGAAGACACTGGCTGGAGTTCTTCATATGTCACTATAAAAGCAAAAGGGAAAATGACCAACTTGGCAAGAAAAGATTGTAGAATAGAATGTCTGTCTCATTATGGACAATAGGCTGTCATGTTTAAATTTAGCTTAGTCTAACTTTGGCAAGAAAGTAAAAAGGATTTGTATTTAAAAAATTCAATTTCACTTTTTTCTGATTTTTTGATTGTTTGTATGCTTATAAATGTAAAATCATTAAAAACTGTATTTTTCTATTTTTAAATATTGTGTATAGTTAATATTTTTAATCCATTTCAAATGGCTATCTTTTTTTCCTCCATAGCAAAATAGTTTTACGAAAATTTCCACATTTATTTTAAATACCATGTTTAGCATATCCAAACCATTATTTTGGCCAGGAAGAGGATACTTTGACATCTTGTTAGGATTCACAAGGGTATAAAGTATGAATGCCACCTTGGGTGGTATTAAGGTGAATGGGAGAGGCTGTGAGCCTCCAGGGAGGCTCTAAAGCTTTTGAGAAGATTTGTGGAGTTGATATGGCTCTTAGAAAATGAATTCCTGAAGTGATTTTTCTTGTCAACTTGCCACAACCTAGAATCACTTGACAGCTTCCACCGAGGAACTCTCAAGATCAGGTAGACTTGTGGGCATGCCTAGAGGGGATTGACTAATTGTTAATTGATGTAGGAAGATCCAGCCCACTGTGGGTGGCAGCACTCCTTAGGCAAGGGTTTCTGAACTGTGTGAGACAGGAGACAGCTAGATGAGTGATCAAGCAAGGGTAGCTCTATTTATTCTCTCTCTGCTCTTGGCTCTGAGTATGATCTGTCTAACTGCTTGAGTTCATCCTGCTTTGACTTCCTCTCAGTGAAGGACTCTGACCTGGACTGTAAGTCAAATAAGCCCCATCCCGATAAAGTCAGGATGTTTATCACAGAAACTAACAGAACCAGAAAGAGTCACCTCATACATGGACAGATTCTGCTAATAGCATGGTGTTTAATATAGCGCAGATTTGATCCTGTCCAAGTGAAAGCACTGATATGAAAACACACCTCACCTTTCCAAAACATGATTTGTTCTGATAGAGGGAAGGTAGACCAGATGGCTATTCACTTCTCATTCTATCTTTTCTGCTCCAGCTTTTTTGCTGTGTATGTGCTATCTCAGATTGTTGAAAGGATGGGGACTGTCATTAGCATGTTAGCTAAGCAATCTAACAGCCTTGCCTTTGGATCTCCCTTCTGACTCCTTATGACTGACTGGTTCATGTCTCTAGTTCTTCAGCTTAAGAGTTGGGTTCAAACAACAACTTTGGGGCTTGAACTTTGAGTCTCAGTGATGTCTGAAGCTTGCTGTGTCATGAAAGCCACAATGTGGCTATATAGTCATGAATCTTGCTACTTTGCCCAGGCTGACCTTGAGACCTGGGTTTAAGTATCCTCTTGCCTTAGTCTCCTGAGTAGCTGGGACTACAGGTATATGTTATTGTACGTTTCACCCCTTTTAAGATAGATAGTATCAGCTACAAAGTGAACCACTGCAGGTCATTGTAGTGTTCATGGTGTTGGTAAAGGTATCTGCTCACCATTGCAAGTTTGTCTGAGATTGTGTGATGTCCAAAGTCTTGGGAAGAGTCTCCCTTGCATATTTAAGAAGTCAGGTGGTCAAGTGAAGGATTCATTTAAGGTAAAGGCCTCCCCAAGAAGGAAGAGAGCCACTAGTGAGCTGTACTTTGCCCATATTCAGAGATCTCTTGAGACTCCTTTGGGTTACCACCTGGAGACTGAGAAGAAGGTTCAATGGAAAGGTGGAGGTTCATTCCTGGGGTAAGGTCCAGGTGGTCACGGGAGGAAAATTATGGTCTGTATTTAGTCTTAACAGCTTAGAAACAGCAAAGCACATGTGACTTCTGAGTCCACTGAGGAAACCCTTGCATCCATCTTTCTAAACATACATGGAGGTGAAAGCCATTGCATATGTTTCCAAACACACACAGAGTGAGAGCCACTGAATACGTATTTCTAAATACATATGGAGATGACAGTTCCAAAGGAAACACTCGCTTAGTTACTGAAGATTTAATTTCCTTTTTACTTTGCAAATGTAACACCTTTTTTAGTGTTAAGTAAATGTTTTTTAATGATGGTATAAAGCATGGATTTATTAAAACAGTGTTCCTAGCTGAGCCTGGTATCTTTGCCTTTGTAGCCCTGTGGATCAGGTAAAGGGGACAGGTGCAAACCATATGCCACTTTATATAGGACTCAGCATCTCCTGATTGTGGCATTTTGAGGAAGTCAGTCCTGCATCTCAGGATAATGTATGTAAACCACTCAACACTGTGCTTAGAAGCAGTAGAACTTGACAAAGGCTCACTTTGTCTTTACCTGCAGGAGAGTCACTGGATCTAAGTGTCCCTATCCTGTCCCCCTCCAATCTGTCCTAGATGCTGTTTCCTCCATGTAGCCTTTCTCCAGGCCCCTGCATGCACTGATGAAACTTTCTGACCCCAGGACCCTCTTGCCTGAAGCTCTTCTCCTGAAGCCATGCTGGGCTGGGTAGAGCCCCGTGGGGTTCAGTATAAATGCCTAGGTGTCAAAGATCAGCTTTGACACTACAGGGTAAATGGAGGCAGGCAGTGAGGTATGGCATTGGTGATTGGGGGTCAGTGTTGAAAGCAGCT